CTGCTGTCCTTCTGGAACAGAAGGGATTATAAACCTCAATAAAGTATCACAAGGCATAGACAGCTCTTGTGAACTTGACAGCATTGCTGAGTGGCGTTGTGTCCTTCTGGAGAAATTAGTTGGACTTTGTCTTTATGAGCTGTTTGGAGAGATTAACCTGCAAGCTGGTTTTGAACTCTTTCAATTTTGCACATCATCTAAATGCAATTAAAAATAAAAAAAACCCTACAGTTACTTAGGAGTCTAAATTCAATTTACTTTCAGTAAGGCAGAAGCTTCTAAGTCACTTAGAGATATTGGGTGAAGAATACCTACAATGCCATGTAAAAGGGGTTTACCAAACTCAGACAAATAAAAATAATCTCTTTATAGCCAAAATACCCACATATCACCTGCCAGATGTCAGATTCATTAAAAATGCATTTGAATATAATTTAAATAATTAAAATGCCATTTTAAAACATGCATAATTGTTTGCCAGAGGCCCTTGCTTACCAGAAGTAATAATTTTCACTTGTTGTGGTGACTTGATGAGCTCAGGCTGAACAGTTTCTGTGTCTGAGCCAAGGTTTGCTTTAGTCACAGCCTGATGCTGCAATTAAGTTTAAGACCTGGGAGTTTATTGCTCAGATGGGTGATCTGGTTTTGTTACAAGGAGTCTAATGAATTTGATGATTAGTCTGTTGTCTTTTATTGTCTGTTTCCAAAGTAATTTGTGCTTGGCTTTTGACTGCTAATAAAATTTATGGAAAAGTTCAGAATGCCAGAGATGAAGGCTTTGTTTGCAACTGTAGTAACCATTAAATGGGATGCATATACTGACTAGCTGGGCCAAGATTTCACCAGTAGATTCACTGTAGAAAAGTTATGTGCTGTTTTTAATATATTTTAACTGGTCTGTTGCTTTTGATAGGTATCTTATTCAGTAGGCTCTACTTCAGGACAACGTAAATACATACGTCTAATATTAAGCATGTTCTTGACCACAATTATGCATGCATTCCACTTTTTAATAAATTATTAAACAGAAGCGCAGGAGGCTACAGAGCCACAACAATGGACCGGTGGTTTGTACTGGGGCAAAAGATAATACAGTTGTTCGAGTTTTCCATATCACCGAGGAGCAAAGGTATAGCAGATACTTAACAGAAGCAGTAATACCAAAAAATACAGGGAAGTGGGCGCCCTGCAGCGCAGCTAACCTCCCCTCTGAGGCCCAAAGGCTGGGTGGAAGAAAAAGTCCTGCTCTTTCCAAATGTCTACCTTTGGCTTTTCCAGCATCTTCTCCAAAAGAGGCAAGAATAACAAGAATATATTTTAAACTCATAACCTAGACACTTTTTGCCTATTTTTGACAAACTTTTAGCATTTTTTTTTATTCTCTGACACCTACATAATTTTCACCTCTTGGTAATGGCTTTCCCTTGGTGACAGTAAGTGCTGTTGAGTATACAGGTAACATTCAGAATGTATTTCATTGCTAACATTTTCCCACCTCCATGGCAATGCAAAACTTTCAGTTTTGCAAAATGAAAAGCAATTTTAGTTTCTAGAGAAAAATAACAAAACTAGTGGGAAAAGTGTTCACTCATTGAGATAAAATCCTGCCACCTTCACTGTCACTATACAGTGCCTTACTTTGAGAGTAGGTATTATTTAGTGTGAATAATGACAACAAAATCTCAGCTTGATTTCAAAAGTTATTTCTGTATAATTTATTCAAAAGAGAAATCTCCCAACAAAAGATACTGGATCCACTTTAAAACAACATTATTTCATTTATAATTACTGCCTCAGGAATACCATACTAACTGCCATTTATCACTGTCAGTGACTTTTGAATTCCTACTAGAACCACAGTATCCCACTGGGTTTGTTTGTCTCTGAGAGAACATGATGTTTTTAGGTTGAAATGGCCCTAAAAATGAACAAAACTTATCATCCCCTAGAAATGTATTTAAATGTCCTTTTACTCTGTTCTGGCACTTCAGCACATACAGGAGAGCAAACGACCATTTGCTCCTAGCTACTTGCAGCGGAGTGCATTATATTTTCCTCCTGAAGTCTGTAGAAGGTCTTTGACTCATTAGTGCTTCCCTGCCCTTTTCTCTTCTTACAAGTTGAGTAGCCATTATTTATCACATTTGTTGCAAATCCTGGGAAAGAATATAGATGCTCTAGTTCTTAGGACTGTTCTTTAGTCAAAAATCATGGCTCTTCATTATGAAAGTCTAATCTTTCATTAGGATACAATTTGCAAGGAAATGGGCAATTTAATTTGCAATTGGTTCAGTACAGAGCGTTAGGGAAACTGTTAGTGGTGTGTCCTAAACTGGTGTCCACATTTCATAACGGGTGTTGAAAAAGCTAGACTTGATTCAGATAAAAATTACAACATTTTCATGACTTTTACCTCATGATATCTCTTTCTGTACAGTGAAAGACTTCAGAAGCTAGTAAAATAAAATAAAGATACCTGGTAACTAGTAAGAGACTTTGTTCCCCGTCACTTTGTGATGTTCCTCCTGCTACTGTTCATCAAAAATAGTAAACAAAACCTCCAGGCTTACTTAGATCAGGTTCCCAATTCTGTGTACATTTCGAGTTTAAATCTTACGTTGTGCTAAGATTATAGGCCAAGGAAAGCCAAACACTTGCATCATTTTGTCTGTCATTTGTCAAATGGAAATCACCTCTGTTATGCTAGTGACAGCAATAAAACTTTTCAATTCTAGAGCTGTGCTGGAAACATCCTCATTCTCACTAGTCCGTTAACACTGTCTCTTTTAAACAGAGGGTACATAAAACACATTTCTCCTGGAAAGACCTCTCCTTATAAAGCGTTTTGTTATTTAATTTGGCCTCAGCTAATTGGCAATTCAGACAGTAATGTGCCTCCAAGAACTCCAGATGCAGCAGAGAACGTGCAGCTCCACCAGTTCCCGTGACACCGGGCCACCACAGAGACACAACCCCGCTTTTGCATGTGCTGACTGCACCCTCCCTCAGAGATGGCATATGTGCCTTCACTCACAGCCTCACTACAACAGAAGACCATGAGGACTACTTGAAGGCGTTGCACATCCTGGAGGCACCAACCTCCTCAACTGCCCCAAGTGCAAGACTGTTGTTTTGTACGTGAATACAGAGCGAGAGAACGCAGCTCGCTCCCTCCCAACTTTGTGCATTGGCCAGTCATACCTGAGCCCTTCAGATGTAGAGACAGTTATCCCAGCGCCTCAACCAGTAGTCAGCGCGGTGACCTGTTGTAAGTCCCTCTATTATGTATTATCAGTAACATTGCAGGGAAACACTCACATTTTGTGAGATTAAACAGACAATAGGAATTGTTGTCCGATTTTTTTTCTCCTGCCTGAATAGTCCATATTTATCTCTAGGCAACAGGGAAGAAAGAAAGTACAGAGAGCTTGCAGTGTCATCTGACTGTTTAACTCTTCAGACCTCATCTGGGAGTGGAATGCAATGCATAATGAAATTCCTTTTTTTAAGCTAGAATGAGTTCTGATATACTCAGGCATTCACTGAGTTTCAGAAAACACAAAATGCATTTTTCAGACTGTGAACGAGAGCCTTTACCTTCTCAACCAAGAGACCACCAGAGAAAAGTGAGTCGTTTTCCAGTCCTACAAGCCTGCACAATCTACAAGCAGATATTTATGCACTTACCTGAGAGTCCACCCACATCCATCTTCTTCAGGTTCTTTGCCTCTAGAATGACGACAGTCAGCTTGCCAGCAGTAGGCACATAACGGAGGGAGAAGCAGATATCACCCAGTTTTTCTTGCTGGAAAGCAAACAAGACATGGGGTGTGTGTGTGTGTTTTTTTTTAAATAGGTTTTTGAACCTTTTAAATATACTTTTAAAAGCCACAAAGAAAATCAACAGGATTACATTTCAAATTGCTATTGTAAAATAAAATGTTCAGATTAACAGCACAAGGTATGTGCCACAAGTTGCCCAGTTTAAATCCTTGATAACCTTAAGCCTGTTTTAGCATCCGGAGGTCACAAGAACTACTCTGCATGGAGCCAAAGGACAAGACATGTGCTCGCTACTAAGTAAGCTACACTGCTCAGCATTTCATCTCTGACAATGGGGCTCCCACAGATACTATTTGACCTTTAACATCGATGAACAGAGGCACTATTTTTTCCCCAGATTGTGTTTCAGTGGAAGTCAATTAACACATATGCATACACAACCGCTAGACCGTTTTCTGTGCAACAATAGCTTGGGTCTTTCTCATCACACTTTGTCACAGAAGCAAAAAAGTATAAAAACCAAAAAGCACAAAGCAATCAGTATAAAAAGGCTCCGTCTCCCATCTGACAGGGAAAATAGAAGGGCAGATAGGCTAGGAAAGCTCACAGTGCATCCCTCCTCACATCAGGAATAGCTGGAAGGATTTGGTTTTGCCTTCATGCTCACGCCTATCACCTGGGATCCTGCCAAACACAACTTTTCATAATTCATTGCTGCGTATTTTCTTAACACGTCTGGCATAGAGGGAAAGGCTTAATTATGTTCAGAGTTGCATGAACTTTGTTTTAAAAGTAAGGAGTAATCTATTTGAACTTGCAGGCATGAGAGAGAGAAAAGAGCAGAGCACCGCTTGGAAAATATCATGAGGATGATCAGAACTGCTTTTCTCCTTTCTCTGAGGCACAGTGGTATCTCTAGGGGGTTAACTATGTTGCTTTTGAGAGAAGACGAATCAGGTTACACTAAACAGCCCAATAAGGCATTTCTGACAGCACTGTTTCTCTTTCAAAGACAGCAGTCCTTATGGCACGTATCTATTTCCACAATTTATTCTGGCAGTAGACTATAAAGTACTTTTCTGTCAAGATATGGCTCCAGTGTGGTTTTTTTTTTTTTTTGGAATGTATTGCAAGATTGGTTGTTGAAAAGTCCTGGGGGTGTATCCATGCTCTTTGCTAAGACACTCGCTAATTTTTGCAGGAATTATGCACTGTTCCTCCACACCACAAATACAAAAAAGACATGGTGATTTACCAGGTTTGAAAAGCCGAGGGGAAGGAGACAAATCAGAACCTCATCCAGAAAGCAGTGGGAACACTACTAACAGCAACTGTTCACAAATCCATAGATGCCGTTGGTATTTAACAGAGAAAAGACAGCCCATGTTCTAAGGGCTATACAAAAATCTATACTTACTATACAAAATCCACCAAAATGTTCTTTTCCAACTGGAAGCTTAAGTCATTTAAGAGAAGCCAGATTTTTGGCATCACTGGCACTTAGATATAGAGGTCTAGCTATACATACACTTAAGACCTGTTTTTAGAAGCACTTTCTACTGAAGATTAAGTGCATATGCCGTCTTAAAGTGTGTTTTATTAGCTGTAATCTGTGCAAATGAAGTACTTAAATATCTCTCTGTGTGTTAGCGTTTTTGAAAATTAAATCCCCGCTGAATAGCATATATTCCATATATTGTAATTCCCTTACGTGCTTCTCTCAACAGCTCTTACACACAATCACTTTTTATCCAGGTTTAGATAAAAATATGCAGTATATCCTCCTGAAAGATGCACGCCAGATACTCAGATATACCTCAAAGCTTACATCTTCCTCTTGTATCAAAAGGTGCATGGGTCCACTTTAGAAGACTTCCTTGGGGATGCAGGAATCTAGATATCTTGTTCTAAATGAAGGACTGGAGCCTTATATATTAAGAACTACTTGGCATCATGTAGTTATTATTCATTTTAAATTTCAAGAGCTTAGAAACTTCAGTAATACTATAATACCTATAAGGTGATAGCCTCTGAAATGATCATTACAAGCCGGGAAAAAGACCTTAGGGTTGTAATAGATAGCTCCATGCAAAACGTTAGCTCAGCAATCATCAGTGGTCAGAAAACATACAGAACTAACACAAAATTAAAAAAAAAAAATAGGAAAGGTGATGTTAAATATTATGATGTTAAATATTTAAATTCATGTATAAAAACACTATATAAATGCACAAGCACCTCTATCTTGAACACTGGTGTGGTTATTGTGTACCCCCCATCAAAAACGATACGGTAGAATTTGGAAAGGTTGCAAGAAGAGTAGCAGGATGATCGAATGATCAAAGATATGACACAGCTTCCAAATCAGGAAGAGCTAAGAGATTGAGACTCCTCAGGCTGGAAAGGAGGTAATTGAGAAGGGGTAGCTTACAGACCTTGAACTGCCCCAGTAAAGCTATAATGATGTTATGACATTGTTTGAAAGAAGAAACTCTAGTATCACAAAGCTGACATTTTAAACTCATACCAAAATAACCCAAGATGTTTTTCATGGCATGGACTGCATTTTTATGGATGCACTTATTACTCCTCCCTGTCTGTATAGGCTGTTAAAAATCCCAGCATAGATTCTGACCATGGAAATACGGATTTTAGTTGTTCAATCTGCACAGCTCATGCTCAGCTCTAACTGATCAGGCAATGACCTAGTGATAGCAAAGCACGCTCCTGTTCCCTTGACATTCAGTTTTGGAACTGACCGTGTTTGCTGGGCTCACAGTGAAGTTGATCTATCACTTGCAGCTTGTTTGGAATGGAAGAAATCAATTGCCTATTGATTTGTGTCATCACGATCATAGATAACCCAGCCTCCCTGTGCTCTTTGCAGTAGCTGTTCTATTACATGGTAGACTTGGTTTAAATTAGCCTGGCTGATTTATGGGCCTTTGAATAGGTCTGAAACAGGGTCTATTGAAAGCTTTTCTTTGTCCCCCATCTCAGAGACCTTTGTACTCACGTATTATCCAACATGCGAGGGCTGTGCCATCGCACTGGATTCAGGAGGCAGAATTTTGGTTATTGCAGCATGGGAACTTGTATTCCTCAGAAATGTGCCCCATTTACTGAATATCATTTATTTTAGAAGTTATTTTTTAAATTAATACCATACTTCTCATATGTAGTCCCTTGGATTGTTCTTATCCAGCGATTTTTGTGTGTATGTGTGCATTTGTGTTGAGACTGCAGTGTGTTTAGTAAACACAAAAATTGTGTTAGGATAGTTGTTTCTGATCCGAGTGCTTCAGCAGAGGTTGGAGGAGGTACTTTACAAACACAGTTATTGCCACAGAGACCATCACCTCTCACCAGCCTTTTTCCATCTGTAATCATGTTACGCTTCTGTGCAAATACTGCAATTGTCTACAGAGAGGAGTAATTTTATGAGAGCATTTAATGCATTTTTAGCCTCTTTTAATGTAATTTTAGCTGCAGGAAGCATGGAGGAGAAGCCAGCACCTTGTAAACAGCAGTTTTCTGTAGATCATCAGCAAGCCATGGGAAATGGCAGCAGACGATGGGTTCACTGCAGTGAATAACTTGAAGAAAAAGCATAGGTATCTCTTTAAATTCCAACAGAATGACATTTAGTACTTTTTTTGTTGTTATGCAAATCTGTAACTGCAATCCTTCAGTATTTCTTGTACTGTAACATTTTGTCTTTGCATGACTGCCACGAGTTTTCTATTCCCAAGTTGGTTTGTATTCTTTCCTGTAATTCCTTAAAATATTTGTCAGGCAAAAAATACTGCGAGTGGCAGCACTGCAATGAAGCAACAAAAAGCAATCACTAGAGGTGTGGTTTGCAGGAGATAATTACAATCCCCTGCAGGGCTGTGAGGTACAGATGAGTGCTTCTGGTACGGTGATTATCTCATGGAGGTGCCTTATTGTTATTATGAATTTCTTTCAGCCCTACGTATAAATAATTTATGTTAGTAAATTACTTTGATCTCTGATGGAAACTGCAAGTTAGTGTTAGAAACTTCCAACTGGGAGGTTCACAGACATTAACCTATTCACGTATAATGCCTAAACACCAATCAAAAGACTCCCTCCATCTAAGCAACTTCATAATTTCATTACATTTAAAGAGGATGCGATGCAGCGAAACATAAATGACATAGGCAGCACTGGTACCACTTCTTCAGCTTATAAAAGGCTATTTAAGGTCCTATTGAGAACTCGGTCTTTTTGGAGAAGACTCTAAGTGGCTCCTGCCTGTCTCATGTTCTTTCTCTTACTCGTCAGTCTGCATTTCTGCCTTGATAACAGTGTTCTAATGAGCTATTGAGAAAAATGCTGTTTACGCAGATCACTCTCATGCACACTGCAGAATCTCTAGCAGTAATATCTGCCTTCTTAATATAAATATTCTCCATACTTTCATGTAAGAGAATACAAGAAAGTTGATGCTTGCAGCTCTTTTGGTTGATGCTTGCAGCTCTTTTAGTAAAACAAAACCAAAATAACAAGCCACAGCACCCTAAGGTTTTTCCTAATTGGATCGAAGACTCCAAATATATCCTTCCAGTCAGTGGCAGGATATAAACACACAATGGGGTAAGTTTCCTAACTCAGTACCAGGTTTTGATTCTGGATATTTTCATAAGCTTCAAAGAAACACAGTAGGATGTGTCTGTGGGTAAAGACCCAAAATACAATCTTCCGCCAATCAATATTTACAATACGAGCTGATATTGTTCACCGTATAGTCTTCACACCAATCAAAATGTTTTAACACCCTCTGGAGAAAACAGGGACAGCACAAAGGTGGGTTATAAGTTCAATTGGCTTCTTTCAAATTCAGGAAGCCTAGGAAAGCTGTAAGGACAGAAACTCTAATTCTAACTGATATGAGGTGAAAATCCCACATCCATGGGCTTCACTTAGTTTTGAGGCCATCGCATTCTGTGTCTACTTACAGAGACCTCAAATCCAACAAATTTGTTCTCCTGGCCTGTC